TCTAAAATTAAACACAATGGTAAACAAATAAATACAAATTCCAGCATCAAGTTTTCATCCTTGGCACAAAACCAGAAAAAATGAAAAAACAATTACAATACACATTCTGGAAAGAGTTTGGGTTAATAGTCACTCTCTCATACCACTAAAAAGCAGATCAATTGGAACAACTAATGGGTTTAGTTAAGCAAGTTATAGCAACATTTTAAAACTTCATATACTCTTTAATGCAGTTCCTCCACTTCTAGGAATGTATCTGAACAGTCAGAAATGTGTGCAAGGCTCTAAAGTCATTTATATCACAGTATAAATCAAAATCAAAAGTAATAAATAACCCAAGTGTAAAAAATGGAAAGAATAAATAAATTAGGATACATCCATATATTCTACTACCATGCTCTAAAAATTATATTGCAGAAAAATGCTAATGGCACGGGATAAAGTTCAGATACGGAGTTTTTACAAAGTTAACAACCCAAATCAAAGTATATACAGGGAGATTACTAAATATATGCATATAAAAGATATTGAAAAGGTGACAAATATGAATGGATGTTGAAATGCCAAGGGAATTTCCCTCTGTTTGTGTTCACCTAAAAACATACAATAAAACACTGCCATTACGCTCTCTGAAATAATGTGAGTTGACATGTAACACAGTTGATGTCTGCACTCTGCCTAGCCCCAGGCCTCAAATAGGGTCAAGCAAAATCCTTCTGCAGGGAAAAAGGAAGGGGAGAGTAAGGTCATTAAGAAAAACAGCAGGCAAACCTCCCTAAGAAAATAGACCAGAGGAGATAAAGTCCCCACACCTCTGGTAAACTTAGAATCCAATGCTCCCAAATAGGCCAATGGAATAGACACCAACTAATAAGAACGTTCAAATAACAGTTGCTACTCTCAAGAAGTCTCATCCAGCCACAGTAGCCTGAATCATTGCCATGGATGGTTAAGCCAGAACAGACAATTGCTACCAAAGGTAGCAAATCACAGCCAGAACCTCCATAGCTCCTATGAGTAGACCCTAGAATTCCAGATCAGCTAGTTACATAGACTCGTACCAGTCATCTCATTAGCCTTCCAATAATCTGCTCTTCATTTCTAATGATTGAATCTTTGGGAACGCACAGCATTATGGAGGGGTTCTCCTAGATTTCTTTCATAATTAAAAATAAAATTAACATTATTTATGAAAAAAAGTTATATTAATATTTAAGAAAAAATACTCCAACCACTTGGAAATTTAAAGGTATTCTCCTAAACAACTATGGATATAAAAAAAAGTTTAAACGTAACTATAAACAATTTAGAATATAATATTTAAAATATAAACATTTTGTATGTAAACCTAAGAAATGAGTCCAAACCTGCATTAAAGGGAAAATTCATAGTATAAAATATTTTTATTCCAAAGAAAAGGGGAAAACTAATATAATGAGGCATTCACTTCAAGATCTTAATTTGGAGAAAAAAGGAATATTTTAAAAGGTAAAAGTAACACAAAGGCAATAGAACACAGAAATATACATGTATCTGAATTGAGAAATAAACCCAACAGCTGGCTGTTTGAAAATAAGCAAACCAACAAAAGATTTTGATAACTTGGTAGAAAGAAAAAGAATCCATTGTAATGGGGTCATATTTTTAAAACTATTAGTATACCTTTCTCTTTTGTCTTCCTGAGAACATGATCTTCCCCTAGCCAATTTGAAACACACATATTTTAGAGGGGAGTAGGAAGAGATTCTAACTTTTTCCTAAAAGAATACAAAAACAAAAAATAAGGTAGACTTTAGATGAGCAAGATAGAATTTGCTGCAGTCTCCAGGGAAGATTTCCAAATTCATCTCATTCTCCCGGTTCAGCACATTAAACACCTTATTTGGAAGGCATAGATCCTTGAGTTTTCACAATCCTTCTCTGGCCCCCACAATTTACCTAAAAGCTTGCATTAGGGCAAAAAAAATATGAAGCAGAGTAAAGCCTGAATTTTTCTGGAATCGAGTAAGTAGGGGGAGAAGACAGAGAAAGAAGAGGAAAGTTTTGGCTTGGGGAGAGAAAAGTGGGGACCGTGGCAAGGTAATAACAAGGGTAATAATAACAAGGATAGGGTATCTTTAAATTTCCAAGTGGTTGGAGTATTTTTCCTTAAATATTAATATAAACAGTAACAAGGTAGTAACAAGGCAATAATAACAATTTCCAGGATCCTAATCACCTCCTTCAATTGGGATTCTGGAGACTGAGCTCCTCTTTGATAGCCCCTGAAATAACTTAGAGTAGGGAGAGTCACCTTGATATCAGGTTTCCTGTACCAACCTCGGCTCTTATATATGCAGATGGGGCCCTGAAATAGCTAAAGGACTGGCCATGGAGAGTGAGGAAGTGTCTGGGTAGCAAGAGCTGAGCAAGAAAGTGTCATAGCAAATGTTGCATAGTAACAACCCAGGACAGGACCAAAGGAAAATCTCCCCCAGATCCCTGAGTGTGATCCCATCAGTGGGATATGATGTAAGGCCAAGACAGCCAGGGAAAACCAGTAGGTACAATGAACCACAAGCTACAGATCTCATAACTGGCCATCAACAGGGTGCTCAGCCACCAGACGGAAAAGGGACATCTCTCTGAAGATTAGGGGTGTTAAAGGATAGCATGACCAAGAGCCTCATCTCTTAGCTCTACCACCATATCATCTAAGACCCTCTCCCTCATAAACTTGGATGGCATTTAAATGAGAAAAGATGGTAGAAGCAATCTGTGAGGCTGTACATTTGTTCCCAGAGAGAATAAATATTGCCAGAAAGAGTTGCTTAAATTGTCACATCCAAGTTTTCACATGGATTGAACATTCTGATCACTCCCCCCATCTTTCCCAGCACCTGTGGAATGCTATAGAATGGGGAGTTTAAGAATGTGGGGTTCTGGATCCACACGGCCTACATTTGAATTCTGGCTCCACAATTTAACTCCCTGACTTTGGACCATACACTTGACCTCTTTGTGCCTCAATTTCCTCATCTATATATTTAGGATAATACTTAGTTGGGTTTTTTAAAAGATTAAATGAGTTAAATACAAAGTTCTTAGCTCAGTGCCTCGCCCATAGGAAGAGTTCATTCAGTGTGCCTCTCCTGGTCCCTCAGAACACCATTACCTGGGCTTATGCAGGAAGATCAGACTAGCTACAGAGGAAATTAAGAAATCACACCCAATAGTATGGTGCATTAAAATTCATACCTCTCTTCCAAAAATAATCTGTCATCAAGGGGACACAAAGTCTATCAGAAGACAAAGAGGCTTTTACGAACACAGCAGAATGGTATAAATTTCAAAAATGTAATAAAATAGGCTGCATTCAGAAAAAAATATGAATTACCTATATTAGCCCAAGAAGTATGCTGAGTAGAAAAGAAGTATGTCAAAGGAAACTGAAAAATTCATCAAAGGATTGCCTCCAAAAGGACCTGAGATCAAATCATTCAGGAGTACACTCTTTCAAACTTTCCCAAAGGGGCAATCCCAGAATGTATAATAGTCACAGGACTCAAGAAGAGATGGCCTGCTCCCCAGCTCCAGAAAACTAGGCTTCCTGTAGTGCACAAACCCGAGAAATCAATAAAACTATAGGCCAGTGTTTTTCTCAGAAGCATTTGTTACCCTAGGATTTCTTAGTGTCTCCGATATGGTGTGAAAATCCAGAGAGAGAGAAGTGGAAGACGGTTGGCCCTCACTTCAGGGATTCCTCCAGGCTTTTGCAGACCTTTCTTCAAGCAGTGCTGGAGCAACAAAAAAGACCGCCTTGAGTCCTATAACCCAAGAGTCAGGAATATACAGAAGACTGCACAGAGAAAAAGGGATCCACAAGAGATAAAAAGAGGAAAAGAGGCAGCGTACAAAATTGCAATAATAACAGCCATGCCGAGGCAGGAAGCAAGACTTTGTTCTAGTGAAAACATAAATGGATTCAACCCTTCAAAGCAGCAATTGGTGATGTGACTTTGAATCTAAAAAGTGCATACCCTTTGACTTAACAATAACTCAACTTCCGTTGGTCTGTCCTGGGTAATTAATTGGAAATGAAGACAAAGATGTATGTACAAGGCTAGACTTAATAGAATTATGAATAACACACACCGAAGCAAAAAGTGGAAACAAGCTAAATGATTAAAAATGGAAACAGTTGAAAGGATATAATAAAACAAGCAACAATCAAAAGCCATGTTTTGGAAAAAGAAATTTAATGCTGGTATAGGTCTAAGTTTGTTTTTGTTTTTGTTTTTTAGGGGAAAAGGCAGAATACAAACCAACAAAGTATAATGTTAACTATTTTTTTTTTTTCAAATATCTGTGTAAAGGAAAGCGTACTGGAAACATATAGATCAAAACCAAGCTGAATATGGTCACCGGGAGGTAGAACCCTGAGTGAATATTACTTTCTTTTTTATATGTCTCCATGGTCTAACTTTCCACACAGCGCTGTATTCACTTCTACAATCAGAGAAGAATTATAAAAACCAAATATTTACTGCACATGGACACACAGTCATACGAATGATAAAGGAAAATGTTAAGTCGCCATTGGCGAAGAACAAAAACAGTCATAGCACACGGAGGAATTTGAATTCCCCAAACCCGAGTCCTCCTAACGCTGGTGTACTTTAAAGCATAGAAAACAAAAAGCAAACCAACCAAATCTCTCCATAAAGACAGGCTGAGCGGCTTTGGGGGTTCAACACATCGGTATCCAGAGACAAACTCAGCACCCACATTTTAAGAGCAGCTGTTGTACACTCTCCCTTGGTTCAAAGAACGGCACATCGAGGAAGAGGAAGGAGCTTTAAAAGGTTGATGGAGTGGGAAGGGTGGCCCCACCTCTTTCTCTCTCTCTTTCTCAATTGTGTAATTGTGTCGTCGCGTCCTCCCAGGCTGCCTCCTGGACGCTGGTCCAGCCCGTGCAGCCCTGGGTCCCCGAGCCCCCGCCCACCGCCTCACCGCGGTACCTGTTCGTGGTGCGCGGGGCCAGCGTTGCCGGGCTCCGGAGGGTCCTCAGTGCTGCGGGGGTGCTGCGGGTGGCCTCCCTGCTGTCCTCCGCCAAGAGCCTGCACAGCCAGAGAGAAAACTTAAGTTGCTACGCCGCGCGGGAACCCTGGCTGGCAGGCTGAGCATCGCGCGTCAAGCCGGGCGTAACGGGACACCCTAGCTCTCGCTCCCCGGCTCCGGGGCTGAGTCCTAACCTCGGGTTGAAAGAGCCTTAGTGACCGAATGGAGAGCCCGGGATCCTGCTGAAACACCCGACGGCAGGTCCCGCTACACAGTTTCCTCGCCCACAGCGACGCGCACTGGAGCCCTCGCAACCCTGACCGGTCCCTGTCCACTACAGCCCCTGCCCGCCGCTCCAAGTGTCACCTCTCTCCGCCATCCCCCCGCCCCTACCCCACCCTTGGGCCGCTGCCGCCCGTCCGCTTGTCCCCCAATGGGTCCCTCAGTCCGCGCGTCCAAGTCCAGGCGACCTGCGGCTGGGACCCCCGGGGCGCACCCCGGGGCGCACGGAGGTGCGGGGCGGTGAGGGACGCCCGGCGGCCGGGGATTACCTGGAACGGGCGGGCGCGTAGCTCGGGCACCACAGTAGGCGCAGCAGAAGCAGCAGCAGCAGCAGGCTGGCGAGCAGGGCGAGCAGCGCGCCCCCCGGCCGCATCCTGAG